ATAAGGCAAGCATTGGTTGGATTACCAGGAGTAAATGGTCTTTCAACCGAGCAACGCAAGAGGCTCACCATTGCAGTTGAGCTTGTAGCAAACCCCTCCATAATATTTATGGATGAGCCAACTTCCGGTCTAGATGCAAGGGCTGCAGCAATCGTTATGAGAACTGTTAGGAATACAGTGGACACTGGAAGAACAGTTGTTTGCACCATCCATCAACCAAGCATTGATATTTTTGAAGCATTTGATGAGGTAATATAAATAGCTCTGATGAAATCCCAATTTTATTTTTGTTACTTTTCTTTGGCTTGGTTCTTATAAGCTTTTTAATTTCACATTTTTAACATTATTGCATTACAGTTGTTTCTAATGAAGAGGGGAGGACAAGAGATATATGTTGGGCCATTAGGTCGCCATTCTCACCATTTGATTCAGTACTTTGAGGTATGTTGAACTGAGCAAGTACAGATTACATTGATGATTCTCATTTAGAGTTACATTAATTCTATGATTTTATCTTTTTCTCCAGAAAATTCCAGGAGTTAGTAAAATCAAAGATGGTTATAATCCGGCAACATGGATGCTAGAAGTGACAACCATAGCACAGGAATTAGCTTTGGGTATTGATTTTGCTGAAGTTTACAGGAACTCAGAACTATTCAGGTAAATTTCTAATAAATTATTCAACTCCGTTTTCATTTAGTTTTTTGCTCAAATTCATATCTAACATGGGTGACTTGTTTCAGGAGAAACAAAGAACTCATCACAGCTTTGAGCACCCCGACTCCTGATTCAAAGGAATTATTCTTTCCTACCAAATATTCTCAGTCATTCTTGACACAGTGTACTGCTTGTCTATGGAAGCAGTACTGGTCATACTGGCGCAACCCACCATACACTGCTGTCAGATTTCTCTTCTCAACCTTCATAGGTCTGACCTTTGGGACAATGTTCTGGGACCTTGGATCCAAAACGTAAGTTACAACTGAGAAGTTCCTAAAGCCCACTCTTAAATTTTCTATTATCTGATATATATATATACATTGTAAAACTCAGGACAAAGCAACAAGAACTGTTCAATGCAATGGGTTCAATGTACGCTGCTATTATCTTCCTTGGTGTCACTAATGCCTCATCCGTGCAGCCAGTTGTGGCTGTTGAAAGAACAGTCTTCTACAGAGAAAGAGCTGCTGGAATGTACTCGGAAATGCCATATGCCATCGCACAACTCTTAATTGAGCTCCCATATGTTTTTGCTCAAGCATTGGTATATGGTGTCATAGTCTATGCAATGATAGGATTCGAATGGTCAGCTGCAAAGTTCTTCTGGTACATATTCTTCATGTACTTCACATTACTATACTACACCTACTACGGGATGATGGCTGTTGCTGTGACACCAAACTACCACATTGCTTCTATAGTTTCATCTGCCTTTTATGGATTATGGAACCTCTTTTCTGGATTCATAGTTCCTCGACCTGTAAGTACAGCCTTCTAAATTCTCATAATTTTTTACGAGTGCTTGGATTGAACCGAATGTGTATAAATCAATTTTTTTTGTCTTTAATGTTAGAATTCTTGTCTCATCCTTCTGTTTTCCTTGTTCCATAACAGAGGATTCCTATATGGTGGAGATGGTATGTTTGGTTATGTCCTGTATCTTGGACCTTATATGGATTGGTGGTATCACAATTTGGTGATCTGAAGAACACGCTGGAATCTGGTGAAACAGTAGAAGAATTTCTGAAGAGTTATTTTGGGTTCAGACATGATTTTCTAGGGGTTGTGGCAACTGTAATTGTTGGGTTCCCATTACTCTTTGCAGCTATCTTTGCTGTGTCCATTAAGGTGTTTAATTTCCAAAGAAGATAGACCCTTATTGTGACATATGTGCAGAGAAGGAGCATGCTTTAAGCTTTGTATTGTGTCAGTCATGTGTATTAAATTTTGCTGAACATTTATCTTGTTACCCAAGTGTAGTGCTCCATGACTGTTTCATCTTTCTTTTAAATAGGGATGATATTTTTTTTATTAATAAAAGTTTGACCAAACAAATACTTATTGATTTTAAAAATTTTAATTCGAGATTAAGATTAAAAGATTAAAATCAAAAGTTTAAACTTTTTGGTTAGTAAGTAATTAACTTCAAAATATAAAAAAAATAATGATGTTTTTGAAGAAGAAAATTATAAATTAATACAAACAAAGTTAAAATCTCTTTTTAACTCTCAAATTTGCTGTCCTAATTTTGTCCTTCTTCTCAATTTTGCACTTTTTCTATCCCCAACTCGTAAATTCTCCAAGCTAGCCCCTTAATTAACGGAATGATGACGTGTTAACTTCTTCCGTTAACAAATCCTTATTTCTAATTAAAAATATTGCGAAAAAGAACCGGGACATACAATTTAATTAAATTGTAGACTTGTACATTTTAATCTTACGCGCACTCTAACAAAAACTGAAAAAATAAACTTTTGCTTAGTATAGTTGTGATTTTTAATATTTAAATTTAATTTTTAAAATTTAAATAATTAAAATTAATAATGAAAATAATACAATAAATACATTCTTAACTTAGTGTACAAGTTAAAAAATT